TTAATCGGTACCTCAAAGTCCACATGATAAAACAGATGTATATTTTCTAGTAATGTACTTCTGTATAACTGTGTATGTCATAAGGTACAAAAGTGCTTCTGTATAACTGTGTATGTCATAAGGTACAAAAGTGCTTCTGTATAACTGTGTACGTCATCAGGTATAAAAGTACTTCTGTATGACTGTGTACGTCATCAGGTATAAAAGTACTTCTGTATGACTGTGTACGTCATCAGGTATAAAAGTACTTCTGTATGACTGTGTACGTCATCAGGTATAAAAGTACTGCTGTATGATTGTGTACGTCATCAGGTATAAAAGTACTTCTGTATGACTGTGTACGTCATAAGGTATAAAAGTACTGCTGTATGACTGTGTACGTCATCAGGTATAAAAGTACTTCTGTATGACTGTATACGTCATAAGGTATAAAAGCATTTCTGTATGACTGTGTACGTCATCAGGTACAAAAGTACTTCTGTATGACTGTGTACGTCATAAGGTACAAAAGTACATATGTGTGATTTTGTAAGTCATAAGGTACAGCAGCAGTTCCATACCATTGTGCATGTGATGTGATACAATGTACCGACGTGTTGATGTACGTTATCAGGTAGCAACATACACGTATATTTTGTTTCAGTAAATTCATCTACAAACATTATATTTTGTTGCCTTCTGTATCATTTCAGGTGTAATGAAATACCTGAATACAACTTGATTATATGAATGTGTCATGTTTTCCGATCATTCCAAACCGATTTAGAAAACCAGTTTTTCAGGTCACATGAATCACTTCCCTATGTGTAATACACATCGCTCAGCTGATCCTGTGTCCTAGCTCTGCCCTGCTTCACAACACTAAGACTTATTCAGCTCCAGTGCGTCCATTATTCTCATCCTTCAGCTGGACCGAAACGAGAAGTAAACGATATTTTGTTTTATCGCAGTCATTGATCGATGCAGAAGAAATGTGTATACCAGTAATAGAAACTGATCACTCACAAATACGATAGTTAATCTGGTCTCCACAATAACACCTATCGGCTACCCGTGTTGTGTGTACCTGCCTGCTTTTATTGTAAATATTTAATCTACCTTAACTAGTAATAGACCTGAACCCACCTGTAGGTTACCTTTTATTATTCTTCCACCACTTTCCGTCCATTTAAACAACCTTTAACACTAGTTAATGCTTTTCTTGAGTCGTCTAACTTTCACTGTATTCACGTTGGAGAGATTTGTATAGGAAGTTAGTAACAAATACGCGACATTCATAACTTTTAAGTCTCATTAATTTTCTGACATTAGATTGACATTAAAACTGCTGCTCAATAACCTAAACATTTGCTTTTGTTGGCACACACCTGTGGATAGTAGACTTTTGGTATCATATTTGGCGAGATGCCCTCTCTGTGTGTTCAGATCGACTTATAACCTTATGTTAGGCACATTACACTCTAGGTAGTCATTGTACCAAATCTGATACAACATCGGCCACTACTTCATGTCAATATATAAATAGTGTATTTAAATCGTTATGAAAAAGAATAAGTTAAAATGTGTAAATATAGACTAGGTTGTCCCTACCCAGTAATCAAAACGTAAAGACTATATTATAAAAGATATTCATACCAGATGATATTATCCGTGTTACATTGATGTCAAATTATATCAATACTGCAGTTGTAAGTCAATTCATATACGATTTGTCTCATTTGAAATAATTCCTTCAGTAGGTGTCATGTGATTGTAACAGAGGTCATTATCGATATCAATATCTCCGCTAGGAATCGAACCCGTGACCCCTAACTTACTATTCTGACGCTCAAACAATCGAGCTAAAGAGAAGTTCTCTCTATCCGAATGGTATATTGCGGCTAGTATTTTTACCAGGGTTAAATAATGTTTGTTTACTTGCACTAAAATTCCATAATTATTACCAAAGCATCTTTAATTTTGTAGCTGTAATTTGTTAAATGTTTCTTGAAAAATAAATATTGATAAAAAAAACCCTCAATAAATCCTTTAATTGTATCATACATTCCAAAGTCTGATTCTGAATGCTTGATGAAGTGATTGTCAACAGTGTTTGTTAGTGTAGATGATACGTATTGACAGCTTTCAGAGTTAACAGTCCAGAAATAATTAGGGTTATCGCTCTGCTGGAAACTTACATAATAATGGGTCGGCTCCATTGTCTGTATTGAACAAACTGAGATTCTATTTTATCAAGTGAATCTCACACCAAAGCAAAGTGGTTTGTATGTTTCAAATGACACATATATACATACATCGATACAATAATTAAGCTATTCACAATATACATAGATACCTACCGCATACCAGAAAGTTGAGATATCCGTAGTGAATGTAGCTGCCTGAGGACCTAAGGCCTGACAAAGTATTGGAGATATCCGTAGTTACTGTCGCTGTCTTAAGACCTAAGGCCTGACAAGGTATTGGAGATGTCCGTAGTTACTGTCGCTGTCTTAAGACCTAAGGCCTGACAAAGTATTGGAGATATTTGTAGCTAATGTAGTTGTCTGAGGACCTAAGGCCTGACAAAGTATTGGAGATATCCAATGATACTGTAGCTGTCTGAGGACCTAAGGCCTGACAAAGTATTGGAGATATCCGTAGTTACTGTATCTGTCTTAAGACCTAAGTCCTGACAAAGTATTGGAGATATCCGTAGTTACTGTAGCTATTTTAAGACCTAAGGCCTGACAAAGTATTGGAGATGTCCGTAGCTAGTGTAGCTGTCTGAGGACCTAAGGCCTGACAAAGTATTGGAGATATCCGTAGCTACTGTAGCTGTGTGAGGACCTAAGGCCTGACAAAGTGTTGGAGATATCCGTAGCTACTGTAGCTGTCTTAAGACCTAAGGCTTGACAAAGTATTGGAGATATCCGTAGTTACTGAAGCTGTCTTAAGACCTGAGGCCTGACAAAGTATTGGAGATATCCGTAGTTACTGAAGCTATTTTAAGACCTAAGGCCTGCCAAAGTATTGGAGATGTCCGTAGCTAGTGTAGCTGTCTGAGGACTTAAGGCCTTACAAAGTATTGGAGATATCCGTAGCTTCTGTAGCTGTGTGAGGACCTAAGGCCTGACAAAGTGTTGGAGATATCCGTAGTTACTGAAGCTGTCTTAAGACCTGAGGCCTGACAAAGTATTGGAGATGTCCGTAGCTACTGTAGCTGTGTGAGGACCTAAGGCCTGACAAAGTATTGGAGATGTCCGTAGTTACTGTCGCTGTCTTAAGACCTAAGGCCTGACAAAGTATTGGAGATATCCGTAGTTACTGTATCTGTCTTAAGACCTAAGTCTTGACAAAGTATTGGAGATATCCGTAGTTACTGTAGCTGTCTTAAGACCTGAGGCCTGACAAAGTATTGGAGATATCCGTAGCTAGTGTAGCTGTCTGAGGACCTAAGGCCTGACAAAGTATTGGAGATATCCGTAGCTACTGTAGCTGTCTTAAGACCTAAGAACTGACAAAATATTGGAGATATCCGTAGCTACTGAAGCTGTCTTAAGACCTAAGAACTGACAAAATATTGGAGATATCCGTAGCTACTGTAGCTGTCTGAGGACCTAAGGCCTGACAAAGTATTGGAGATATCCGTAGCTACTGTAGCTGTCTTAAGACCTAAGAACTGACAAAATATTGGAGATATCCGTAGCTACTGAAGCTGTCTTAAGACCTAAGAACTGACAAAATATTGGAGATATCCGTAGCTACTGTAGCTGTCTTAAGACCTAAGAACTGACAAAATATTGGAGATATCCGTAGCTACTGAAGCTGTCTTAAGACCTAAGAACTGACAAAATATTGGAGATATCCGTAGCTACTGTAGCTGTCTGAGGACCTAAGGCCTGACAAAGTATTGGAGATATCCGTAGCTACTGTAGCTGTCTTAAGACCTAAGAACTGACAAAATATTGGAGATATCCGTAGCTACTGTAGCTGTCTGAGGACCTAAGGCCTGACAAAGTATTGGAGATATCCGTAGCTACTGTAACTGTCTGAGGACCTAAGGCCTGACAAAGTGTTGGAGATATCCGTAGCTACTGTAGCTGTCTTAAGACCTGAGGCCTGACAAAGTATTGGAGATGTCCGTAGTTACTGAAGCTGTCTTAAGACCTGAGGCCTGACAAGGTATTGGAGATGTCCGTAGCTACTGTAGCTGTGTGAGGACCTAAGGCCTGACAAAGTATTGGAGATATCCGTAGTTACTGTCGCTGTTTGAGGTGTTATAAACGTCTCTGATTTGAACGTTACTTAATCTAGGTATATACGACAAAATATAATAATTCTGTCCTGTTTCTTTTTTTAATACTATTATGAATAGAGATATATTGAGTAAAAACATAAAGAAAAAAATAGTACTCTACTGACGTTGTTGATATTTGAACCACATTTCATCATTTTATGTGCAATGCCCCCCTTTTAGATACCGTTAAAAATTGGTCGCACTTTGAGGTTTGAAATTCAAAACAACTCACGTGAACTATTTTACGTGGTTGAAAGCCGTTATCCCTTTTACATTCAATTAAAACGAGCTCCCCTACCACTCTCAACACTCACACCAACAGCCCCACCGCTTTGCAGAACCGTTTCATGAATCACATATTCAAATGAATGATCCCATCTAGTAACATCTTGTACCAGTACGCTAAAATATAGACCGAAAATCAACTTTAAAGTATATTTTTCAGCAATAAATGATAAATAAATCCAGTACGTATGATTTATTGACAACATCATATGCATATGTATTCGTTTCAATGTTGAGAATGAATGCTGTTATTTTGTAAGGACTGAATTTGACAAAAATTTCAATGAAAACACACCAATCAATAGAGACCGTGCGCGAACGGTGTGGTTCAGGCTACTTGGACCAAGTAATATTTACTCCGAAACATCGTGCGCATGCGTACATAGAGTTTGAAATTCTCAACGGATGACCCAATGGACATGTGAATATTCGCATGAATTTTCTCATATAATTAATTCTAAAACCAATTTTTTGGAATTTTGCTTCCTCTTCAGGAAAACAACTTTGTTTCATCATGGATATGGCGGGTCTGAAAGTCGGCGTTAATGTCGACATTCAGCGGACCGACGGTAAGATGGTCTGACAACAAATCGGGAGAAAAGTCGCGGGTTTCGTTGCTACTGAGAATATTTATATCGGAGCCGGGTATATTGCGACCCACATACTGTATGCTTACATTTTCAAAGTGCAATCTTTTCCCTGTATGCCATTCATAACTTTTGCATGAATGTAAAATATTCAAATCGGTTCAAATGGCAGTCGATTGCATCGAATGTTTTTTTTATTATTTATGTCAAATTAGGATTGTAATAGGCCTGTCATTTTGTGCACGTATTTGCTATACTGTGAATGATTAGTGAAGCTTTATATTCGGTCAATGTTGAATATAAGAAATGAAAACTGGAGGCAAATTATTGATGCATTATCATATTTGAGTGGAAAGTGTCAAGTAGCACTTGACGTCTGGTTGACAATGTCATTGGTTTAAAATTTGACATAATATTTGTATGTAAAGATCAAAAAGTGCCTTATGACATCATGTTACGTTACCTTATTTGTTCAAATTCTTCCCCGTCCTCCTTGTCCCAAATGAGGAGCATGACCCCTCATAGATTCTCCCTTGAATATATGTGCAATATTAATATTTTATGATTTGTAAATATAATATACTAATGTACCATTTCCCATGTATGATCAATTGATAATGATTGATTATCAGTGTTGACAACCTCTGTAAACTTGCCTGTTATGCCTGGTAAAATCTTTCCCACAGACTTGATTGATTGATTAATTTGTTTGCCAAGTACTGATTCCCTCCAATGCCACACCTTCTTACAGAAAATGGAAAGAGAATCATGTCAATTCATCAATTTATGAAACACATGAACCACCACTAAGTTTTACTGTAATCCAACAATGCTCAAGTGTTTTAAATGATGCAACACTTTTGACAGATTCTTTTCCTGTCAAAGGCAGCATATGTGTATATGTACATTGTTTGTGTTTTGTCACTAACTTTATTTTTCATCAGTATAAAAGCATATTGGTTAGAGAAATATGTGTCAGGGCCAGGGTGAGAATGAATACTTGGCATTTTCTTCATGTTGAGAGTCATTATCTGACTGCAAGGGATATTTAGATTATCAAATCTATTAGTTTCTTACCTCCTGACTGTAATAAATTTAGTTTTGCATTTGTCAAATGGCAAAGATTTGACAGTTTAATTACTACAAATTTGTACGTAGGCTATAATACGAAATTACAGTAGGTCTGTTGTTTCAAAATGGTAAATGAAACGCTACCTGCAGCCAAAATTAGGTGTAATATATAAGCAGAAGGATATAAGATAGTTTGCGAGTGATGTCATGGGACGATGACACATACAGTTCAACTAGTTCTGACACTGTCATTCCAAGTGGTAATTACATACAAAAATTTGGCAATCCAATCACAACATACTTACATACAAGACAGTGTTTTTGGACATGTTAATTGAAGTATACTTATTTGCTTGAGAAGACATAACTAGAAAATGACCAAGAAGTGTATTATTTGAAAACGAAATGAAGAAGTGGTAGAGATGTATAAGATATGCAACTCCAAAAGTAAGGCAAGTAACATAGCTAGTTTTTGACACTGGGTATCCCAAAAGGTAACTGGTACCCATACTCCTATATGAAATTCAACAATCTCTCTGATTTTTAATATGAGTTTAAATGTTTTTTAAGGTCGTATCCATTCAGCTGTGATCAGTGGTGTGAATCCTGAGATGAGGAGTGTCACAGTTGAATGGTTTGAGAAGGGAGAAACCAAAGGAAAAGAGGTAATAATTATTGGACTGTAGCCAAATAAAACATGGACTCTTACAGTGAAGATACATAAATTGTGTAACATATATATACAACCATGTTGTAGTACATGTATACTGAGTGTTCCTGGGCGAAGAACATGTAAACCTGGTATTTCTTGTTGTAGTACATGTGTGATTGGTATTTCTTGTTGTAATACATGTGTACTTGGTATTTGTGGGTGTAATACATGTGTACTTGGTATTTGTAGGTGTAATACATGTGTACTTGGTATTTCTTGGTGTGATACAGGTGTACTTGGTTTTCTTGGTGTGGTAAATGTGTACTTGATATTTCTTGGTGTAGTACATGTGTACTTGGTATTTCTTGGTGTAGTACATGTAAACTTGGTATTTCTTGGTGTAGTACATGTGTACTTGGTATTTCTTGGTATGGTACATGTAAATTTGTTTTTCTAGATGTAGTACGAGTAAACTTGGTATTTCTTTGTGTAGTACATGTAAACTTGGTATTTCTGGGTGTAGTATGTGTAAACGTGGTATTTTTTGATGTAGTACATGTGTACTTGGTATTTCTTCGAGTAGTACATGTGTACTTGGTATTTCTTGTGTGGTACATGTAAATTTGTTTTTCTATATGTAGTACGAGTAAACTTGGTATTTCTTGGTGTAGTACATGTAAACTTGGTATTTCTGGGTGTAGTATGTGTAAACGTGGTATTTTTTGGTGTAGTACATGTGTACTTGGTATTTCTTGGTGTAGTACACATAAACATGGTCTTTCTGGGTGTAGTACATGTGTACTTGGTATTTCTGGGTGTAGTACACGTAAACATGGTATTTCTGGGTGTAGTACATGTGTACTTGGTATTTCTGGGTGTAGTACATGTAAACATGGTGTTTCTTGTGTTATGGGGCTTTGACCAAGCTAAGATAGCTTACACATGTGCCTTTATATTCTGGGTATACTAAAAAGTAAAAGCATTAACTTATCACTGGCATGAAGGTCAAGCTAATAATTTTCTGTAAGATAATCATGTCAGAATAGACTAGCATCATCAACTTACACGTTCTATACATCACTTACTGTCTGATGTACAACCTTTTCAGGAAGTGTGAGGGAAAAATGAGAAATCACTTAAATTTGATTTTGGCATGAAAATCTCAACACTGTGGATGGGATTTTGAAGTTCATCAGCACTCCCAAAAATTTTGCTTAACTAAAAAGTCTTTATCATCTGGTGGAGATATCTCCATTATTTGTCATTTATGATTGCCCAGCCATTACACTTTGGTCCAGCTTGATCCACCTAAAATGTCATTGTTGCTTACTTGTACCAGCTAAATGGTTTGATATAGCCGTTTTAACCATGTAATATGATTACTGTTGGTGTATGGGGCCATATTAGAGAGGTGTTGTATGAAATTTAGTATTACCTGTGTAAATTACAATCAATTCCAGATTGAGGTGGAAGCAATATTTGCTCTAAACCCAGATCTCCAAACACCTGTGCAACCTGTGCGTGAAAGTCAATCCTCAAAGGTAAGTTTACAAGAGGAAGAAAAGTGCTTCATTCAACTTTCGCTCATGGTTTTACAAATTCTTTTTTTCTCCCAACTTAATCAACATGAGTGGATTCATATTTTGAATGATCAAATGCCACATTACATCATTGTATCACACACTGGGCTTGAATTTCGTACATTTTGAAATGCCACTGCAAAATAAAGTTGTATTAAGTGTATAATACATAAATAGATAAATAGACAAAAAAGTGTGGTTCATTTTATTGCTGTAGTATAAGACAGACTGAAACAAAAGGCTGTGCCATGGTGGTAGTTTAATGCTAACAAGCAATGTTTTCATGATTTCAGTGTATGTAAATTTTGAATTTATTAAAATGGAAGCTATTTAATGAAGAAAAATTGTAAATATAAGGATTAACTTTCTATTGTGTTCAGGTTAAGGGATAATAATAATAATTTAACAGTGGTGAATTTTGTATTACTAGTTATTTACTAGAGTTTAATTGTAGTTATCCCAGATAAACTGAAAGAAACTAGAAAGTTATACTTAAAAATAATACAATGTTCCAACTCTTTAATTTACTTGCTCGGGATGCAATTTTTAAAATTTATTTTTAGCATTGATTAGACAAACTTAGCACTTGTTGCCGAAGTATATAATATTAGAAAGAAGTACTTATTAACATTCTGACTTGTTTTAAACAGAGCTCCAGAATACCAAATGCACAGTCTGGAGATGGACCAAAAGCTGGTAGAAAAGGTAATTACATTGCACCTATATTATGCTAATGACTGATGTGGTCCACATATGGTACCTGCCAAAATTAGAACCCCCTAGCTGCATTTAGGATGGTAGCCATCTTAGAAATCCTGATTTCTACTTCTCTGTATAAAGAAAGGAATATCATCACCATTCATATGTATGGGGTACGGGTCACTGATGGCTGTAAGTGAAGTTTTGACCTTTCACCTGTAAGATGGTTTTCATAGCTGCCATATATTGAAAATCTTGATAGCCACTGAACTGAGAATTGTCTTGAAACATTACTTTTAACTTAAAATTGTGTAGAAAGGTCTGTTGTAATCAAATTAACTGAAAATTGTGCAGAAAGGTGGGTAGTGATCAAATTAATTGAAAATTGTGTAGAAAGGTGGGTAGTGATCAAAATTAATTGAAAATTGTGTAGAAAGGTGGGTGGTGATCAAAATTAATTGAAAATTGTGTAGAAAGGTGGGTAGTGATCAAATTAATTGAAAATTGTGTAGAAAGGTGGGTAGTGATCAAATTAATTGAAAATTGTGTAGAAAGGTGGGTAGTGATCAAATTAACTGAAAATTGTGTAGAAAGGTGGGTAGTGATCAAATTAACTGAAAATTGTGTAGAAATGTCTGTAGTAATCAAATAAAATTGAACATGATTGTAATTATCCATATAGCGCCAGCTGGACAGGAACTTTAGTATTCCTTTATTTATTGTGAAATAAATCGCTCTTTAGCAGTTTTTTGACAAGTCTAGAATTAAACAGAAATAGCAACATATTAGGAGCTCTTCTTTTACTATCAGTTCTTAGTTTAATTTTTATGTATTGTGATGTTTTGGGTATGTGAAAAACAACTTCTGAGAAAAGAAAAAAATGGGTCTGGATGAAGCCATATAGATTAAAAAACACCTATTCCAAAACTGTTCAAAGTGTTACGACACTATATTTCATTCAGATTTGAAGAGTTACCAAAAGTTAAAATGAATCCGTAACATACAAAAAATTGTACTTAATTTTCAAGAAACAATGTGAATTATCAAAGTGTAGTACCTATAATCTGATGTGGTATAAAGGAAAGAGACTTCGTGTTAAATGATGCTAGGATTTGACTTTACAAGTCATGTAGAGATTGAAGTAAAGGAAAGGAAGGGAAAATTGTTATTGGATTTGAATTTTTTTTTTTTTAATTTAAGTATTACCGTTATTTGTCTAAAATTCTTTTCTACATTTGTAGACTTTAATTCATTATTTCTATGCTGTTTGTTTTAGCCATCACATTACACATGTACTTGTTATTATAATTGTGCTGATAAATTAAGGTTGAATTGAATTGATAAGAAGATTTTTGATCCTATTGGATTTTGAGTATCTGATAGGAAAAAGGAGCTCAATATTGTGTTAAAACTTGGATAGATAAACAGAGTTCATTGAAGGTCAATGTTGAAAAGAATTCCCTTTACTAACAAATGAATGGATTTTTACCTAAAATTATAAAGGACATTATTGGATCTAAGACGCTAGATCGGCGGGGGCATGGAATTGGGTACAACAAGAATAGCTGAAGTGCAATATTAAATGGACAACATGTCTTTTATTGCCTAATCATGCTTCTACAGTTGCACCTGCTGTTGTACAGTACAGCCTCCATAATGCACAATTTTCAGTATCATTAATCTTTATGTTCTCGCCATTTCACAGTTGGAATCATACTGTGTTACCGGTTTTTGTCATTCTGTTACAGTTTCCTCTCTGCTCATTTACTCTTTACCATTTAACAGGCAGAACTTATAATTTTATTTCATGATGAATATGCTTTTATCAAGGATATGAACACAAAAGAATCTTCAAAGTTCTCCTTAGTAGCCTGACAATTTTTCGTTCGGATTCCCAACTAACAAATGATAAAGAGGAGATCTGTAGTCAAGAACTAAAACGGAAGAGGGAGAAGTCTATAGAAGGTCAAAGGTCACACACTTTATTAACGTCACAATATATGTTTGCCCACATTATGAATACTTTGGGAGAAAATTTTCTTACTTGGATGTCCTGATGAAGCCCACAGTTCTAGGCGAAACTGGTCGACAATACATAATATTAAATTACTCTAGACTTGTTGCAATGGTTATCCTACTTATTCTATCTTAATTATTTTATGTGATCGTTCTTTTATTCATTTTTAATGTAGTTGAATGTATCTGATTTTTCTGGTTGACAGCACCCCTTTCAGCAAAGTCAAGACGTAGCTATGCTGCCAATGCCCAGCCATCTGTAGTAGCACAAAATGGACAAGCGGATAAATCCTCAGACAAATCAGCAGCATCAGCTGCATCAAAGGATGCTGCAGGTCTGTATAGAATGTCTCAGGTCATACCCAGTATTTTCTAAAATATATGTCAGTAGAAATGGAGATTCTCATTTAGGACGTTTACGAGATGGTTACACTTTACAGTATTATCTCAAATTTGTCATCAGTCTTTTCTCTGAACAACATTTCTGCATATCTATGCTATCAGACAGTGCTAAGTGTAGATTTTCTGATGGACATTTAATTTTGTTTGGAATCTATCTAGCAGGACAGATACCCAGGAGACTCTTTACCAACAGATATAGCTAAATCAAAAAGGTTATATCCTTGTCCCTAGGGAATAGTGTTAGGTTAATTGGTTTTATTTTTAATTAATTAGAGACCACCAGCAGCAGTCTAAAATGGCTAATATTAAACCTTTATTGGACAGTTTATGTTAAAATGGAATATTTACATAGATGAGCTGTATCACAATTTATTTTTTACTTTAATTTTGAAGTACATGTATGTGAATGTTTTTTTCCTGATTAATGCATTCAACTGTAATTTATTTCGGATAGATCAGACTTTAAGGCCGTCATATTGCTGTTTCTAAGATTTGCGTTGAGCTGTCTTTGATGTCAGAAGTCAGATATAGTCTAATGACGGTTGAAATTGTAGCTCGCAGGAAATCTAACTGTGTCAAAGAGGTCGATAAGATCCGTTTGAAGAGAGAGGAACGCAGAGCCCAGCAGATCGCCATCAAGGAAGAAAGAGGAAATGAATACGACCTGAATGATCCAAACTGGGAGTTTATAGCAATGATTAAGTAAGAATGACCTCTTAAACAACTACAGATCTTTATAATGTGTTTTTAGTCAAAGGCTAAACAAAATCTGTATTAAATATCCTAGTAAAATAGTGGCTGTTTTTTCTATTATTTCAGGGTTGTTTTCCATATAAAAAATAAACTCATTATTAAGAAAAATAATGAAAATGTATCGGAAAGTTAATATTTAAAATTGATTCCTAACTGTTGATGTTGAAATAAAGAGCACCTGAGCAAGATAGGTCGATACATTGAGGTGCTGAGATGGTTAGCATTATGTGGGAGCACAATCAGTTCATATATTAATTATTGATGTCGATGGCTGGAGGTTATAGGCTTTAAATGTCTGCATGTCCAGTGGCAAGGGATAGTGGTTCTGCATGAATAATAGATGAAGTACATATCCTGGTTGGTCACCTAGGAACTGTACACAGACATATACCTAATATCTACTTCCAGTAAAAGCAAGATCGTAGAGGGAAGGATTAGTGAAATTGATGGGACTGCCATAGATATAAGTTTCAGTGTCGTATAATAGAATTGGCTTTGTATTTGTTGAAGGAACTTGCAAATTTCTGATGCCTGACATAAAAAAGGAATAACAACCTTCAAATGATACTTTAAAATGAAGTAAAATATTTCCTAATGACTTTAACCTGTTTTATTCCCTAGTGAATACCGTACAAGCTTAGAGTTCCGTCCATTAACGTCATCAGATCCTATTGTCAACCATACAATATCTGTTTGTGTCCGTAAACGCCCCATGAACAAGAAAGGTAATTTCTAATTTAACACTTTGATCTTAATGACAATTTTTTAAAAGTTGTAAATTAAATTAAATAAAAAAAAAAAATTAAGCATATGGCAATATATGATGTATATTTACAACTGATTTACAAATGAATTTAGATGTGAAGGATATCAGTGTGTTTCTGATAATCTGATGAAGACTTGAGTAAATTTAATTTTTTTATTACTATATGTTAATGAATTTTACGTGATTTTATGCTATAGATAAGATTTTTGTTTTATCTCCCTCTCTGTCCAACAGAATTGACCAAAAAGGATGTTGATGTAATAACAGTCCCTAACAAGGAAAATGTGATAGTTCATGAACCAAAACTGAAGGTGGACCTTACAAAATATCTGGAGAATCAGAACTTTCGTTTTGACTACTCTTTTGATGAGAACAGCACAAATGAGATGGTGTATAGGTAAACTTTGAAAACTACTTTTCAAGTTAATGTATCTATGATTCTGTATCCAATGGAACTGTGCTTCAATGTTACCAAAATGATTTCTCCTTGTGGTTTGGGAATAAACTGTTACTCTGGTGAGGAAGTTTATCCTCATTCTTGTGATGATCCCTGAACTAGTGTTTCTCTTGCATGTGACTTAAAGTCTTAGAAGGAAGACTCTGCTGTCACCTTTCCCACAATAACAGCGTCATTGCTAGTATTTCAATTTAAAGTTTTGCATTTTGATCTGTTGCTCAAAACATTTAAGTCCAACTTTTACAAAACTTAGTACATAGCTAGATCACATAGAGGACATTTCAAAAAAAATATATAAAAATCACAAGGTAGTTAAGTATTTGTTAAACATATCAATAAGATAAGTGATTAAGTTTCTTTCTGTTCTTCCTGCAGGTACACTGCCAAACCGTTAGTGGAGTGCATATTTGAAGGTGGAATGGCTACTTGTTTTGCATATGGGCAGACAGGGAGTGGTAAAACCCATGTAAGTAATGGAAGATATCACAATACACAGATAGTGACTAGTTCTGTCCTCTACACTAAAATTTGTTGGTAGGTGTTGTTGTAAGTAATGGAAGATATCACAATACACAGATAGTGACTAGTTCTGTCCCCAACAATGAAATTGGTTGGTAGGTTGCATGGCCTGTCCATCATTCTATTTTTTGTGAACACGCAAAGTGATGAAAGGATCTTTCTGAAATGTCAATATGGCTACAAGTGGCTCTCGTAAATGTGGACATTTGAATCTTGCAATTACTATATATCTTTAGAACTACTGAAGTAATTATCCAGAAACTCCATGTGCATATTAGCATGGGTCCTTGTGTATGCAAAATTTTGTTCATGATCAAATATATCAAAGATGGCTGCCAACAGCCATATTGGATTTCGACGATAGAAATTGTTGACTGCTATATCCAGAGATAATATGAAACTTTTGAACAGGTTCAATAAGGTTCCTTACTGCATGATTCAGTTTTAGACTGATTGGAAAAGCAAAGCGGCCGAGAGGTGGCCATTTGGAATTCAGATGATTAAAAGTTTATCAATATTTTTTCACATGATGCATTTGATACATTGTTTTGAATTGCATGTGTAGGGTAGGTTCCTGTTTTGTCCATAATCATGTGTGTTAAATTCTAAGCTTCACTTGCCTGTACAAATAAAATCAAATAAGAGAAGAAAAGAGAAAACAAGGCTGAGACTGTGATGTCCAATTCAAAATCAAAATTATAATGACTGTGGAATTTTGTCATTCAATGTAATGACCTTCAGGAACACATGTTCTTCAAAGATCCTGATGTATGACCTTTTTGTTACATTTAGACGATGGGTGGTGACTTTTCCGTCAAGGGACAGCAGGATTGTTCAAAAGGAATTTACTGTTTAGCTGGTAAGTACACACATTCAACAAATACTCAGAAGTCTATGTGTTTTCTTCTTTGGTAACTGGATTCATAGGTATATCAAGATGTGAGAGAAAAGGCTTCAAATCTAGTCCTGATTAAGTTACGATGATTTATAGCAAGTCTTTATCTTCAGAGGCATATTATGAAAATAATAAAAGTCAACAACATTTCTCAGAATATGGAATGATCAAAAAGATCAACTTTTGAAGTTAGCATATGGCAAAGAGTGTGTCAGGAACAGCAATAATCAAATACGTAGTACTGATAGAAGCTTTTTATGTTGCAATTTTGCATAATACAGTCTCACTTAAACTTTCAGCTAGGGATGTTTTCAAGTTGCTACATACCAAATACAAGAAGCAAGAATTGGCGGTGGGAGCTAGCTTCTTTGAAATTTATAGTGGAAAGGTAAGTTAATAGTAAGTTAATACATTGAAAGAGTTACCACTTGAAACCTTGAAGAAGAAAATTATAATGTGTCCTTATGTGTGATTGTCAACTTGGGATTTTTTTTTAACCCATGAAAGCGATTGGATACTAGTGAAGAATTTATGTTATTAGCAGGTATTCTGATCCAAACATGAAAGATAATGTATTTTGTCCGTGAATCCTTTGATTATAAATATCATCACATTTATTTTACACGATTCTGTTTTTGGTTTCACTTGCCATAAACTATCTTGTTTTTAGAAAATTTACCTTTACTTTCTTAATTTTGAAACTTGACCATGTCAATATTTGTTATCACTTTACAGTGCCCCTCAGATATTTTTCTTACTTATTTAATCAGCTTCTTTAGCTATTATGCCCAAGAGCTTTTTGAATATCCTTCCTTTAAATCTTTTGCTCCACAATTGAACTATATTATATTGACTTTGAGGTTAACTTTTGCTTGCTTGACAGTATTCTGACTACAGTCAGCTGGCTTTTGTTGTTGATAAATAATGAATCATTTCTGTAAGTGTTTTATAGTGACCTAAATGAAACTGTAGGTAATGGATGAAGGTGTGCTCTTGTTTGGTGTAAGACCACAAGTGATGTAAATTGCTCTGCTAAGAACTTTGCTTAAATGAAAGATATTAGTTCAGCTTGCTGATATGACAAGCCAGTTTCTTAGATTGTGTACCAGTTATTAAATCTGTACCCCTACAATGATGGTGTCACACAGCACTATTCCTGCTTATTGATATTATATTTAACCACTGTGTTGTTTAGTGTATTGAACAAGACATTTATTTTCTAAAATTCAACTGTTAAAAAATCCTGGGTTTGTTATTTCGACTTTAAACCAACAATGCAGCAAGTGTTGTGAGCACTAGATTTTTTTAACAGTTGATTATGACTGAAGTAAAAACAAAAAGGAAAAGCGGTCAGACATCATGCCAATGTGTTGCTTTTTCAGGTTTTTGATCTGTTAAATAAGAAGCAAAAGTTACGAGTGCTTGAGGATCACAAACAGCAGGTCCAAGTTGTGGGGCTAAAAGAAGAGCCAATATCGAATCCAGATGATGTCCTACGTCTTATTCAGCATGGCAACAATGTTCGGACATCTGGAACAACCTCAGCCAATCAGCATTCCTCTAGGTCTCATGCAGTATTTCAAATTATCCTCAGACGAAGGTATGTTTTCTTCAATAAAAAAGGATGTTTTACATTAAGTTTGAATTGGATGTTGTCTTGACTTAAAGTAGCATTTGCTTGTTGTATTGTGCTCTATACTTTAATATTTGTTAACAAATTTATCCTTTGTCCAGTTATCAAATGGAATAAAGGAGCATCAAGACATTTATATGAATTGGAATGTTTTTTTAAAACCAGGCATTTTCCCATTTTAACCTGTAGCAAACTGAAATTATCTTCCTTGTATTTATAGCAAATTCAAATTATCTTTCCTATATTTATAGCAAATTGAAATTATCTTCCCTATATTTATAGCAAATTGAAATTATCTTACCTATATTTATAGCAAGTTGAAGCCAACAGCACGACAAAATCAAGCACCTATACAGTAAGTTCTGAGAGGTGCCTTTTTCACAGTGATTAATACACCCTCACGCTATATGAATTTTTTTTAAAAATCCTATTTGTGTGCTTTACATCTGACCTAATCTCTGAATTCTTGAGAAAATTGTTGAATTTCCTCACCATCTAAAATAAAGACTCCGAGTGACCATTGCACTAAGGAAAGAGATATTGCAATTTCTGTTTGTGTGTATTTAATGGTGATTGAAAATGATTTCTTTGTTTTTTCAGGAATTCAAATAAGATTCATGGGAAGTTTTCACTGATTGATTTAGCAGGTTTGTACCTCTGTCTTTAAAAGTTGACAAATGTGAAGAGGATGTTATGATTTGACTCAAATGTATCTGTTTAAGGATGTTGATTTTTAACAGTGGTTTTTAATTTTGTCGAAATTTGAAACACAACGAAACATAACAAAGGAAAGAACAACTTCTGTATTGGCTGAAAATTGCAAACTAAATTTTGATTCTGTATAAAGTGCTTGCTACGTAAACAGAAATTTAAAGCTTTAAGCTGGTAGCTTTCATCCAAAAACTTTCGTTCCAATGTAAGACTTTGTCAATTTACACTCTCAAGTATTCTCTCAAACTAACATTTGTAGTGCCCCTTGGAAAACAAGACTTCTCAGATGTCAAATTTCCTGCCATTTATCTCTTACAGTACTGATATTGCATTACTGTTAGAAGACAATTCAGTTTTATAGCAGATAGAAATTCCCACTTAGCATTACTTCATCATTTTACGGTCTAGGTTATAAGCAAGTCCAGCAGATAGATTATCCCAGTTAAAAAAAAAAGTAATAAGAATTCAATAATTTTATTCAACAGTGATCATGTCCTCTTATGATTTACTCCATGGTCAAGTATTTGAACAACATATTTTCTTTGGCTTTTAAGCCACTACTCTGTCTTGTGTGTGTCAGAAATATGGTTTATAAATTGTTGCTGCTTGTATGTGGACCAAAAAAAGAATGATAGAAAAAAAAACTTAGGTAATTGGTGTGTGATAAATTCCAAGGTACGTTTTATTGCTTGTTAATGTAGTTATTTGTTTTCCTACAATATACACAATTTAAATACTTAGTATTTAGTGAATATTGCTCTGTGAAATTTTTCATGAAAAATTAGGTAATTTATTATGTTTTTGTGTGTACCTGCCCACCACATAGTTGTGACTGTAAAACTGAGTAAATGCTGATCTTGTAGAACAGTCATTTGTCATTGTTTACAGCATAGTTTGACAAAAGGCAGTATACAACTGCAATGAAAATAACAATCTCATGAATTATATTAATTGTAACTTTGAATATGGGTCCCAATGATATTTCCTTAACTTTCATAACTACAAGAAGGCATGGCAAAAGTTTGCAATAGACTATTGCCCACTGGGATCAATAGGCAGAAAAATCAGACAGGGGCCCCACCATGACAGCATACACACTGGTACATACACTATCAGTGAAATCTTAAATACCTGTACCAGTTCTTTTTATTTCATTGTTAAGTAATGTATCTTACCTGAAAGATAAAGACATGTTTCTAAACGGACATGAAATTCATCACTAGATCCTCAGACAATAAGTTTATCTAAAACAGCCACCATGCATGTCTATGATGTGAATACCTAGTAGTTTCAATACAGCTCACAGAGGAAGAAATATGGAATTATAGACCAGTATTCACAAACCCATTATGCACTAGGAAATTTGTTAGCAAAGGCAGTCGTTAATATTAATAAGTACAGATTCTGGTGGAGAGATTGTAAAGCATACTTCCAAAAGTAGCATGAGACCCTATGTATGGAATCTTTGAAGGCCCCAGACGAGTTAAAAATGCATTAGATAGACTTCAGAAAAATTTGTGCAAAATTCAGGTAGGTAATATAATTCTTCTCCTTAGAAAGGCTGTTGTTATAGTTCATCATATCTATGTCCATTGTTTACTTCAGGTAATGAACGTGGAGCAGACACGTCCAGTGCTGACAGGCAGACAAGGATGGAAGGTGCTGAAATTAACAAAAGTCTCCTGGCATTGAAGGTCAGTCCCTGTTTATTTATCTGTGTGTTGCTTTCTTGAAAAAAGTTGTGATGAATTGAATATAAAGGAACTTGACAAGGTCTTCATTGGAGACCTAGGTAGGAATTTGATTTCAGGAGATACAGATTTTGATAAATAAAAAACAAAAAGTTTGGGAATTGATGAAAACTGATATGTTTCTGTAGGTTTATTATTTGATCTGCATTACATTTGCAGGAGTGTATCAGAGCATTAAGTAGAAAAGGAGCTCACCAGCCATTCCGTGCTAGCAAGCTGACCCAGGTGTTGAGAGATTCATTTATAGGAGACAACTCCAGAACATGTATGGTGAGTGCTCATGTGATATTGCATTGGGGTGACAGACTGACACAATCAATTTATGGGAGACAACTCCAGAATGTGTATTGTGAATGATCATGTGATATTGCATTAGGGTGACAGACTGACATGATCATTTTAACATACCAGTAAATCTCCTCATATCGGGTCCAACAAACGCTTAGGTTTTCTCACATGTCATGACAGCATTTGCCTTTGTTGTGGGGCCTGAAAGAATATGTGTTCTGTCATTACATAGCTTATATAACATGCCAAAGCTGCAGCAACATCCGATCACAACTAGCACATCACTGTTTTATATCCGATTCACCATTGCTACATCAGAAGACAGCAATCTTAAGTTATAAGTGAAAATCTTGTGATTAGTGTAACAAGCACATTATCTATATAGTAGGTGTGCTTCCTCAAATGAAGTCATTTTTACCCTGCTATAGTGTTTCCATTGCAGCAGGGATTTGTCACTTCAATGTAGATCACTTTTTGTTGCCATTCTAATATGTATATGCAAATTTTACGCAGGCTGTTGGTTCTAGGCTATTGAACTTTCTTTCATGTTCCTAGATTTCCATGATCTCTCCTGGGATGAGCTGCTGTGAACACACACTGAACACACTCAGATATGCAGACAGGTTAGTACTGCCAAACAGCTGGAAATATTTTGTTAAGAAATGAAGGCATAGAGTTGTTGCTTTGTCTGTGTGTCTGTATTACAACAGAAACACCATGGGCTTGATAGCTCACGAAACCTCCACAGAATAGTTCTTACTCATATATCTACTTAATAAATTAGCAAGTTTCTATTTGTCATCAATCACGCTTAAATGGTTAAGAAACATTTTTCGAAATGTTGATTGCGAAATTTGGATGAAACGGCCTCTAGTAATTGAAATTCCGGATACTCTTATAACAGCTTGAGGCCTACAAGGAACCATGGACAATTTGTGTAACCTGTCTCAATAGATTATCTCCTATCAAACTACTTTAATGTCAAAACATTTTGCAATAAGCATTTCGCATTCTATACAGTATTTTGTATTAAGAATGTTGTACTGGTTTCCATATAAGCTTAAGACATTGCATGAACACCCATATTAGATGTAGTTTATATTGATGTCATAGTTATGTTCACTTTGTATTGTATGGAGGCTCCTATGCACAACAGTAATTTGATATCACGACAAAATGTATGTCAATTTTTGTCCTCAATTTCAAAATTAACTTTTTGGCCTTTGCTTTTTGAAAAAGAAAACCTGATACTTATATATAAATATCCTCAGATGGGGTGATTTTGAGATTTCAGGCACATAGCTGAGCAAAGACCAATATTCTTTTAGAGACCGATTCTTGATTGCCTTTCAAATTAGAGTTCTTCTTCAGGGTAAAGAAATCAGTGTCTCTTGTATATATTGCATGAAGTTTTTCAGAATATTATTATAAGCATACAGAAAAGAAAATTAAGAAAATTATACGATGCAATTTATTAGATTTTCGGTATTCCTCATAAACACAAGTAACAAGGATTTTTAAATGTGAAGTAATAATAGGATGTATGGATGAAGTTGGTGAAGACAATCACTATGAGTTGTTGATCTCAGTTAAATAACCAAACATTAAATGATCTACTTAATGATAGGTACTTTATCCATCATTGAAATATCAACATTACTGTTAGTCATTTTACCTTACCCGAGAAAGATCAACTTGATACAAGTGACAGCAGATGATGTTAGGTAACAAATGTTTCCTGGTTTTAAAAGTCATACTAATCTATATTTGGTATCAGGTATGATTTTTTTCAGTGTTTTTTTTTTCATTATTATTTAATTCCATTTTGATTAAAAGAAAGAAATAACTGAAATATCATGATTGTTTTGTTATGTTGACTGTTATTGTTTCAGAGTGAAGGAATTGGGGCCGGGAGGACCTGTAGAAGGAAAGCCATCAGAGGTAGCCCTTCCCAACAACTACAACCTTGGTGCTATGTCTCCACAGAACAGTGATCTACAGATGCTCAAAACCTCTAATGTAAGTAACGTAACAGTAATTGTGTACAATTCGCTGCCAATACCAGTACAGAATATCTACTGTCACTACTAGGACTGTGCTATGGCTGTAGCCTGTTGTAGGTCTTGGGTTCACCATACTCGTCATTATGTAGATACAAAATGTACTATTTAATAACCTGTTAACAGTGATGTTTGTTTTCAATGGCAATTTCAAGATATTGAGATAGGATGTGTTTACATTTCTCAAATGTCCAGGATGCCAACTTTTAACCCTGTGCATGTTCAACGAAAATCGCAATCAGTATGCTGTAATGAATCAGTTCCATATATTGCCTGTATACAGGTGCAGCTTTAGAATGTTTAACTGTCAAAAACTTATTGATGATTGATTTTTCTATTGCAACTACATACAGATACTATTTACATGTGACCTATATTATTACAAAGATGAAGTAACCATGATCACATTGATGTTACATAAATTCTTCACTTTTTGAAACATTTTGTGAGGAAGATGTTTGGACGGGGTTTTTTTTTTTTGTGTATTTGATTTTAGGGTTCTTGTCATACTTAAGTCAGATTTTTTGAGCTACAAAATAACCTGCTTGTATTGCAGAAGAATCTGCATTTTAATACTGACAAAGTATTGAATTATATTTTATGTAAGCACTTTCAGACAAGGTGCCAAATAAATGAAGCGAAGCTTAATCCACATCCAAAATCTCCTATTTTATGTTATACAGTGTAAGCTCCGCTAGCAAGTGTTTGAAAATAATTGAATAAAAAAAAACTCATATTGACAGTGATTTAGCCACACTTTATTCACTTCATGGGTTGGGATATGCAAACTACTATTAGCCCCCTCTGCTTGATTAAGAGCTGGCTTGTAAAGGCATACCAAGGTAGCAAACTTTTCTGCCCCTTGTTCTAGGACTCTGGTAAAGGAAATTGGTTATAATGGGCCACTTCTGGATCAGTCTGCAGGTGGTACATTTACTAGTTCATATTTTAAAATCCAACAGATGTCATATCTAACCCAGTTTTGTCAGAGGTTTATGCACGTTGTCCTGATCTGTGTCATGCATTTTGCATGGTGTTTCCAGTATACCGGTTGAATGAATATTCTGGGTTTTTTGTAGGAGGAGGTAACAGATGAAATGCTGACATTCCATGAAGTTGTCAACCATATGCAGGAAATGGAGGAAGAGGTTATTGATGACCACAAGTCTATTATAGAGGTCAGTATAAGGAGTGTGGTATCACTATTTGTTGAGAAGACTTGACTGAATCTTTCAAATATCCTATATAAGTTGTCCTTGGTCCCTGGTGTTACCTGCTTCTTTTGAGACTAATCATAAAAACAAAATAGCTGAAATGTGGTAACATTGGATTGTTCGGAAATATCTCCAACTGGAATTGGTTCTAGTCTGATTACTGTAGCTATTTTATTTCTCTTTGTTTCTTTTTCTTGTTTACTTTTATTACCAATGATTGATTCCCCTAACATGAACTATGCACAGTACTAATTTAACAAACCAGTAGATCCATGACAACTGATATAAATGACTTTGGTGCTTTCTTCGATTATAGATAACACAGAAATGGCTCGCTGAGGACAAGAAGCTGTACAAGGCTACAGACGAGGTGGACTATGATGTTGAAGGTAAATTTCTCTTTCTGTTTTCCTTGATGAAAATTTTGTTTGCACATTTACTAGCAACAACTGCCCAGTTAAACAAATCTTGAGTAAGTTAAATATTTTTTGTTGGAAAAGGGATGTAAATAAACAGGAAATGATACAGTTATATTAAAGCTGTGACTTGGGTCATAGGAAACTGGCACTTCACTAGTTCATTCAACCCAGCTGTATGCATGCATGTTTTTTGTTGGGAAAGTCTATTAAGTTATTCTGTGCACCATGAATGATTGTTTACTCAGTGCACCGTGAATGATTGTTCACTCAGTGCACCGTGAATGATTGTTTACTGTGTGCACCGTGAATGATTGTTTACTGTGTGCACCGTGAATGATTGTTCACTCAGTGCACCGTGAATGATTGTTTACTGTGTGCACCGTGAATGATTGTTTACTCTGTGCACCGTGAATGATTGTTAACACCGTGAATGATTGTTAACTCTGTGCACCGTGAATGATTGTTAACTCTGTGCACCGTGAATGATTGTTTACTCTGTGCACCGTGAATGATTGTTAACTGTGTGCACCGTGAATGATTGTTTACTCTGTGCACCGTGAATGATTGTTTACTGTGTGCACCGTGAATGATTGTTTACTCAGTGCACCGTGAATGATTGTTTACTCTGTGCACCGTGAATGATTGTTTACTGTGTGCACCGTGAATGATTGTTTACTCAGTGCACCGTGAATGATTGTTTACTCTGTGCACCGTGAATGATTGTTTACTGTGTGCACCGTGAATGATTGTTTACTCTGTGCACCGTGAATGATTGTTTACTCTGTGCACCGTGAATGATTGTTTACTCAGTGCACCGTGAATGATTGTTTACTCTGTGCACCGTGAATGATTGTTTACTCTGTGCACCGTGAATGATTGTTTACTCTGTGCACCGTGAATGATTGTTTACTCAGTGCACCGTGAATGATTGTTTACTCTGTGCACCGTGAATGATTGTTTACTCTGTGCACCGTGAATGATTGTTTACTGTGTGCACCGTGAATGATTGTTTACTCTGTGCACCGTGAATGATTGTTTACTCTGTGTGCACCGTGAATGATTGTTTACTGTGTGCACCGTGAATGATTGTTTACTCTGTGCACCGTGAATGATTGTTTACTCTGTGCACCGTGAATGATTGTTAACTGTGTGCACCGTGAATGATTGTTTACTCTGTGCACCGTGAATGATTGTTTACTGTGTGCACCGTGAATGATTGTTTACTGTGTGCACCGTGAATGATTGTTTACTCTGTGCACCGTGAATGATTGTTTACTCTGTGCACCGTGAATGATTGTTTACTCTGTGCACCGTGAATGATTGTTAACTGTGTGCACCGTGAATGATTGTTTACTCTGTGTGCACCGTGAATGATTGTTTACTGTGTGCACCGTGAATGATTGTTTACTCTGTGCACCGTGAATGATTGTTTACTCTGTGCACCGTGAATGATTGTTAACTGTGTGCACCGTGAATGATTGTTTACTCTGTGCACCGTGAATGATTGTTTACTCTGTGCACCGTGAATGATTGTTAACTGTGTGCACCGTGAATGATTGTTAACTGTGTGCACCGTGAATGATTGTTTACTGTGTGCACCGTGAATGATTGTTTACTGTGTGCACCGTGAATGATTGTTAACTGTGTGCACCGTGAATGATTGTTAACTGTGTGCACCGTGAATGATTGTTTACTCAGTGCACCATGCACCGTGAATGATTGTTTACTCTGTGCACCGTGAATGATTGTTTACTCTGTGCGCCGTGAATGATTGTTTACTCTGTGCACCGTGAATGATTGTTAACTGTGTGCACCGTGAATGATTGTTTACTCTGTGCACCGTGAATGATTGTTTACTCTGTGCACCGTGAATGATTGTTAACTGTGTGCACCGTGAATGATTGTTTACTCTGTGCACCGTGAATGATTGTTTACTCTGTGCACCGTGAATGATTGTTAACTGTGTGCACCGTGAATGATTGTTTACTGTGTGCACCGTGAATGATTGTTTACTCTGTGCACCGTGAATGATTGTTTACTCTGTGCGCCGTGAATGATTGTTTACTCTGTGCGCCGTGAATGATTGTTTACTCTGTGCGCCGTGAATGATTGTTTACTCTGTGCGCCGTGAATGATTGTTCACTCAGTGCACCGTGAATGATTGTTAACTGTGTGCACCGTGAATGATTGTTTACTCTGTGCACCGTGAATGATTGTTTACTCTGTGCACCGTGAATGATTGTTAACTGTGTGCACCGTGAATGATTGTTTACTGTGTGCACCGTGAATGATTGTTTACTGTGTGCACCGTGAATGATTGTTTACTCTGTGCACCGTGAATGATTGTTTACTGTGTGCACCGTGAATGATTGTTTACTCAGTGCACCGTGAATGATTGTTTACTCTGTGCACCGTGAATGATTGTTTACTGTGTGCACCGTGAATGATTGTTTACTCTGTGTGCCATGAATGATTGTTTACTCTGTGCACCGTGAATGATTGTTTACTGTGTGCGCCGTGAATGATTGTTTACTCTGTGCGCCGTGAATGATTGTTTACTCAGTGCGCCGTGAATGATTGTTTACTCTGTGCACCGTGAATGATTGTTTACTCTGTGCGCCGTGAATGATTGTTTACTCAGTGCACCGTGAATGATTGTTTACTCTGTGCGCCGTGAATGATTGTTTACTCTGTGCGCCGTGAATGATTGTTTACTCTGTGCGCCGTGAATGATTGTTTACTCTGTGCACCGTGAATGATTGTTTACTCAGTGCACCGTGAATGATTGTTTACTCTGTGCGCCGTGAATGATTGTTCACTCAGTGCACCGTGAATGATTGTTAACTGTGTGCACCGTGAATGATTGTTTACTCTGTGCACCGTGAATGATTGTTAACTGTGTGCACCGTGAATGATTGTTTACTCTGTGCACCGTGAATGATTGTTTACTCTGTGCGCCGTGAATGATTGTTTACTCTGTGCACCGTGAATGATTGTTTACTCTGTGCACCGTGAATGATTGTTTACTCTGTGCACCGTGAATGATTGTTAACTGTGTGCACCGTGAATGATTGTTTACTCTGTGCACCGTGAATGATTGTTCACTCTGTGCGCCGTGAATGATTGTTTACTCTGTGCACCGTGAATGATTGTTTACTCTGTGCACCGTGAATGATTGTTTACTCTGTCCACCGTGAATGATTGTTAACTGTGTGCACCGTGAATGATTGTTTACTCTGTGCACCGTGAATGATTGTTTACTGTGTGCACCGTGAATGATTGTTTACTCTGTGCGCCGTGAATGATTGTTTACTCTGTGCACCGTGAATGATTGTTTACTCTGTGCACCGTGAATGATTGTTAACTGTGTGCACCGTGAATGATTGTTTACTCTGTGCACCGTGAATGATTGTTTACTCTGTGCACCGTGAATGATTGTTTACTCTGTGCACCGTGAATGATTGTTAACTGTGTGCGCCGTGAATGATTGTTTACTCTGTGCACCGTGAATGATTGTTCACTCAGTGCACCGTGAATGATTGTTTACTGTGTGCACCGTGAATGATTGTTTACTCTGTGCACCGTGAATGATTGTTCACTCAGTGCACCGTGAATGATTGTTTACTGTGTGCACCGTGAATGATTGTTTACTCTGTGCACCGTGAATGATTGTTTACTCTGTGCACCGTGAATGATTGTTTACTGTGTGCACCGTGAATGATTGTTTACTGTGTGCACCGTGAATGATTGTTCACTCAGTGCACCGTGAATGATTGTTTACTCTGTGCGCCGTGAATGATTGTTTACTGTGTGCACCGTGAATGATTGTTTACTCTGTGCACCGTGAATGATTGTTCACTCAGTGCGCCGTGAATGATTGTTTACTCTGTGCACCGTGAATGATTGTTTACTCTGTGCACCGTGAATGATTGTTAACTCTGTGCGCCGTGAATGATTGTTTACTCTGTGCACCGTGAATGATTGTTCACTCAGTGCACCGTGAATGATTGTTTACTCTGTGCACCGTGAATGATTGTTTACTGTGTGCGCCGTGAATGATTGTTTACTCTGTGCACCGTGAATGATTGTTAACTGTGTGCGCCGTGAATGATTGTTAACTGTGTGCACCGTGAATGATTGTTAACTGTGTGCACCGTGAATTATTGTTTACTCTGTGCACCGTGAATGATTGTTCACTCTGTGCGCCGTGAATGATTGTTTACTCTGTGCACCGTGAATGATTGTTTACTCTGTGCACCGTGAATGATTGTTAACTGTGTGCACCGTGAATGATTGTTTACTCTGTGCACCGTGAATGATTGTTTACTCTGTGCACCGTGAATGATTGTTTACTCTGTGCACTATGAATGATTGTTTACTGTGTGCGCCGTGAATGATTGTTTACTCTGTGCACCGTGAATGATTGTTTACTCTGTACACCGTGAATG